CCAGCCCCCAAATTATTATTGTATTAAATAATTTTAGTATTTTGTATTTCTGTACATGGAAAATATTAGAAACTAAATGGTAAACTGGGACAATCTGTACATTTAGTGGAGGTGAAGGGCTCAATTCTTAACACAAAGAAAGCTGTTGTGAGGGAAATGTACCTAGATTTATACCCTACTTTGAAAAAGTCAGGTAAAATAATGAACAGAAAATTAACAAAAGAAAAATTGCCCGTAAATATGTGAGAAAGGGTTGGGCTCCAGCTGCAGACAGAAAATAAAGCGGTGGCTTTTCACCTGGCAGACTCAGAGAGACCACCAGGGGGCGCAAGCAAGCTTCCTTGTGTTCGTCTGCAGCACAGCTTCTGCGGTATGTGTCAAGCATCCCAGAATCTCATTTCTAGAACTTTCTCCTAAAAGAATAACGAGTAGACATCCAGAAAGGGGCTTCTCTCGCCATCTCAAGACCCTGCCCAGGCACATCGAGCTACAGAAGAGGATGCTGGAACTTTGGCCTAGTTTGGCTTGACTTTAGTCAGAATAACTAATTTGATGGCAGGCGTTTTTCTGGGAAAATACATACTGCACACGTGTACAAGTACACTCGTTCTCACAGATCTCCAGGAGGGTCAGCTGTGGCTGACACGGCAGAAGACTTGAAAGGCATAAGAGACCCGCTGCAAGGAGCAGCTCCGGCCTTCTGCCTCGCTCCCTGCCCCGTCCAGCGGCAGCATCCCTGGCCCCAGGGTCCTGACTCCTCCGTGCCCTTCCTCTGAGCAACCTGTACCTAAAACAGAGCGCCACGTGGAGCAGAGGCCACTGCCTTCACTGCCATCCGCATCGGAGCACTGCGGTGCTGGAGTCACTCTCCCTTGCTGGCTCTCGCAGGGCAGCCGCCATAGGCTGGTACCAGCTGGCCCTCAGGCCACAGAAGCTGAGCCCTGCGGGCAGCCATGTGAGCTAGGAAGTGCTCTTTCCTCAGCCTAGCTGCCAGAAGAGATCAAAGGCAGCGACACTGTGCTGGCAGCTGAACAGGGCTGATTCCTGCCTCTCAGGCACTGCCAGACAGTAAAAGCACTACACACTGTACGCTGCAGAGCTTGTGGTCATTGGTCACGCAGCCACGGACACCTAACACTCTCTCTGTATTAGTTTCCTGGACTGTCATATCAGAGCACCGCAGACTGGATAGCTTATTACAACAGCCATTGTCTTACGGTTCTGAAGGCCAGTCCTAAATCAAGGTGTCCCTGTGCCACACTGTCCCAAGGCTCCCTGGAGGATCCCTGCTGTGTTTCCAGCTTCTGGTGATTGCCAGCATCCTGGGCAGCCTCAGCTTGAATCTTGCCTCTATTATCAGCTAGCCTTTCCTCTGCGTGTCTCTATTTTCCTCTTGTTCAAGGAACACGGGTCATGGGAAGCAGGCCCACCCTTATTTAGTATGCCCTTATGCTGACTTACATCTGCCAAACCCTGCTCCCAAATAAGGTCATGTTGGCGGGTCCTGAGGACTAAGTCTTAGAGGCACTGTACCTTTATGGAGAACACAGTTGAACATGCCATATCCCCAAATGAATGACCCAAGGACAGAGTGATCCAAACCAATTATAACAGGCCAGGGTCAAATGTTCCCCAGAGTAGGAGTAGACATAGGTGGATGAGGCAATCACCGAGAATCAAAACAATAAATTCCAAAGAGGTGCACCCAAGCATGGCTTTCTTCTTCTTCTTCTTCTTCTTCTTCTTCTTCTTCTTCTTCTTCTTCTTCTTCTTCTTCTTCTTCTTCTTCTTCTTCTTCTTCTTCTTCTTCT